TTCTATATGTGTCTATTCTATACATGTCTTAGGTTTCGATGGGTTCTGTATGTGTCTATACGTGTCTTAGGTTTCTATGTGTGTCTATTCTATATTCGTCTTAGGCTTCGAAGAGTTCTATATGTGTCTATTCTATACGTCTTATGTTTCTATACGTTCTATACGTGTCCATTCTATATGTGTCTTAGGTTTCTATATATTTTACATGTGTCAATTCTATGTGTGCCTTATGTTTCCTTGTGTTCTATGTGTGTCTGTTTCTATATATGTCTGTTCTATGTGCCTTATGTTTCTGTGTATTCTCCAAGTGTCTTGTGTTTCTATATGTTCTATGTGTGTCTATTCTATATGTGCCACATGTTTCTATATGTTCTACATGTGTCAGTCTGTTTACATACATATTGTCTGCCCTGTTCAAATGGAAGCCCCTCAAGGCCAGGGACTAGTTCACTTTTGTCTTTGTATAAATGCTTGCTAATTGGTTGGATTAGAGCCAGTGGTGGGCCCATATTCACTTCGATAATGACGAATGGACACTATCTCAGTTGTACTGTATTTGTATTGCTTTTGCTAACCATTTCCCCATGACATTTGAATCTGGTTCTGGTCACAATTAAGAATTTGGCAGCGCCTGCTTCAGGTTTGACCCCTTCGAGCTAGATGACCTCTGATGTGCCTTCCAGCTCAAAAGATATGAACCTGTGATCTCTAAGACGCTCTTGAAGGCCCTTGCTGGCTCTAAGTCCTATCAGAGGAACAAAGGCACTGGAGGCAGGCCTCACCTCCAGGGCCTGTTCCTCCATAGCCTTTCTCCTCCATGGCGCTGACTCTTCCACCATGTTTGAGAGCTCATTCTTAGTCTGTGTAGCTTGGTTTGTGCTAATACTGAGAACCAAGCTGGATCTTTTCATGTCTCCCTCTTCCTACAGTTCAACCCAGGCAAGTTCAACTATACGAGCAAGGACTGGAACCCCCAGAAAGGCTTCACCATCATCCGCCCATCCTTCCAGTTCTTCAGCAGTCTGCTCCAGTGTGTGACGAAAGTCAATGGGAAGACCCACGTCTCCCTCTACCTGCCCCAGAAAGTGGGTGAGTGGGCTTTACCACACACGGAACACCACCTGGAATTAGAGCTTTGTGTGCCCTTAAGTCTTGATCGTAGGGTGTACATTATGTTAGAAGGGAGCAATTCTTTGGTACTTAGGCTGGTTCTAGGTATTTTAGGGCAACAGCATGACATAGAGTGCCTGAGTTGGGATGACCCCAATTCAAGTCCTGCTGCTGCTGCATGACCCTGAACACATCACTTACCCTTTGGTTTCATATCCATCTGAGAACCCCAGAAAAAGGAGCCGCAGAATTTCTGAGAACTTAGAGAAATCTATGTCCTGGGAAATGGGAAAAAGAGCTCTATCTGCCCCCTACAACTTAGCCATGAGGAAACCTGAGGGATTGGGGTTTTATACAAAGGTGAGCTTCCTAACAAAGTTGTTAAACACTGTAAAAGAAAGTCCCAGAATCCAACCCTGACCCAAGTGTGAATTTTCTCCCCCCTACTCCTGACAAGCTTTGCTGACGGGGAGTTCACTCTCTCCTGGGGTAGCTGATTCCAGTTTTGGAACATCTAGCTGTTACAAGATTTCCCCCTACATCTAGCTGAAATCTGCTTGTTTCTTTGTAACTCTCATCTCTCATTTGTAGCAACCTCTCAACTTCCAGACCCTATGCCCTGTTGAGTTCATAGGACCCCTAGTCTTAGAACTTGAAAAGACTTTAGAGACCATTAAGCTTAAGTTCATCCTTTTACAAATGTGGAAACTGAAGCTCATAGTGGTTAAGTGACTTGCCTAGAGTCCCACAGCTAGTAAATAGCTGAAACAGGATTTGCACCCAGGACTTCCTAGCTCCTACATTTGGTGCTCTCTCCACCATATCATGCCACCTCCAGGGGAGACAATGCCTTCCCCTACTCAACCTGTTGAATTCTTACTCATCCTTTAGTCCAGCTCTGATGCCACCACCTGCAGGGTGGCTGCCCTGATTTACCCCTTGGACCACATGTACTTTTTGGTACCTCTAATGTCCTAATGTATTATTGTGTATTATTTGCATTTGGATCTAAGCCTAGTTCAGGAGAATATAAGCTTCCTGAGGGCACAAACTATGTCTTTGTATTTTCTCCCCTCCCCCAGTGGCCATCACAGGGCTCTGCACACAGTAGGTGCTTCACAGATGTTTGTTGGATGGGATTGAACGCTACAGTAATGCTCCAGAATCCCCTCCCCATCCACCCCAATGAAGTATTTGTAACCTTGGCTGGGGGTGGGGGGTGGTGCCATGTGGTTGGCTACCAATGACTTCAGAATTTCCTTCCCAGCCCTCTGGAGTCATTGCACTGTCTGTTATTCCACATTTCCATCAAGTGAGGAGATGTGGATGAGGAATCAGCCAGCTTCCTTTCTTTCTCACCTGTCTTCCTTTTCAGTGGGGTGGGCTCATGGCTTCTTCCCCAGCCAGGGGAGAGTTAGAGTCTCCATTCTGTCTTCCAGAAACCAAAAAAGAGAATATCTCCATCAGAGTCAATCACCAAAAACTGCTCGCGGGTGAAACCCTGAGTCTGTCCTGCACTGCCGAGACCACCTTTAATGGGCGCATCAAGCTTGACTGGGAGTACAAGAGGAAAGGGGTGAGACCTACAGTCCAGGCTCCCTCTCTCTGCCAGCCATCTGTGCTGGATGCTCTAGAGCATCTAAAGTGGGGAGTACCACCCCCTGGGGGGCACTGGACCAATCCAGGGGGGTGGTAATAGCCTCAAATGCAATTGGGGGGCATTGAATAAAAATAAGGGTTAACCTAACCTAACCCTAGGGGGACACTGAGTAATTTTTTTAAAAAGGGGGTGGTAGGCTAAATAAGTTTGGGAACCTCTGTATCTAGAGCCTCCTTGGGCTCCAGCTGGGTTCTAGCTAAGGCATTTGACTGTGTAGAATCCGAGGTCCCTTCCAGCTCAAACCCTGTACTCTTGAGGGCCTTCCTGGCTTGAGCATTCTCTGGGCTATGTTTTAAGGCCTCGTCTAGTTCTGATATTCTCGGTTCTAAGGTTCTCCCAGCTGGAGCACTCTGTGTTCTGAGGTCCCTCTCAGCTCTGACATTCTGAATTATAAGGGCTCTCCATGTTCTAAAGTCCCTGCCAGCTTGCCAGTGACTGTGGTGTTTCCTACTGTTTCTGCTAGCAGAAATTCACATATACCAGCAGTCACTTTCCTGTGACTTTGGCTTTTAAGCATTCTAGCTCTTAAGCATTCAATACCCCAAGTTTGAGTCCTTTCTTCTTGATGAGAGCCTGCTCTAGGCAAAATGGCGCCATTGGTGAGGTGACCTCTCTACCACTACCTCCCCAACTCAAACAGAATTCTGATTCATAGGTTTTTGGAATTTAGAGGATAAGGGACCTAAGATAGGACACTCAACCTGGGTTCAAACCCCACCGCTGACACTGATTAGTTATATCGCATAGGTCACATGTGGCTATTGTCCCAACTTCACTCTTCCTCCAGCCAGCCCATCTTTGTGCTATGGCCCTTTCTGGGCCCTGATCACCTTTCACAAAGAGACTCCTCTTGTGTTCCAGTTGTTTCATGGGTATGAAACCCCTGAGGGTGAGACCTGAGCCATAGTCATGTCTATACCCTCCCCCAAGGCTAGCTCGGGTCTGGGTCCATGGGAGGAACTCACCAAACATTTCATGGAGCCTTGAAGGGTTCACTTGGCTTTGATTGTGCTTTCTCCCATCTCACAGAACAAGGCAAATCCCAGGTGCTGTGAAATTAAGAGGAACATGGACCAGAGGACCCCTGTGTACAAAAGCTACAGTAACCTGACCATCTGGAATGTGACTGTGGAGGATAGTGGACTTTACCGATGTCAGGAAGGCAATGGTTCAAGTCTCCAAGCCAGCATTAACATCACTGTGCTGGGTAAGTCACAACTATCACATTTAGTGTTCTACATGCCTCCTACCTCTGACATTCCTTGTTCTAAGGCCCCTCCCAGCTCTGACATTCCCTTTTCTAAGGCCCCTCCTAGACCTAACATTCTCTGTTCTAAGGCTCCTACCATCCCTGACATC